TGCTTTAGCTAAAAATTGGTATTTGAAAGAAATCTTGTGTCCAAATTTGACACAAAGTTTGGCAATGCCATATTTTCGGCAAACCCGTTTGCATGCCATTTGGAGGTTGATTTTTGGGTGAAGTTGCTATAATTATAGCAACTCCATTTGGATTTTGTCTAAGGAATAGTCATTACATTCCTGCCCAAAATCATTCAACGAAACCATAACATCAACCTAGCTGTGCAGAAAGCAAGGAATGTAGTTTTACTGGTGCTTTAGTGTTACAGGTTTTAGGATGTCCTTTCATCCTATAATCAAGTGGAGTTTTTGTGAATGTTAACACTAACTTAGTTTCTTATTGCACACCAATACATAAAAACATATAATTAAATATATCACCATGTACTTGTATGGAGATATATATATTACATTTTATGTACTATTGTATATCTTGAAAACAAAAACGGGGGCTTCTTTGACAACCTTCAACCTCTGGTGAAACTGTAAACTTAAGCAGTTTCCTCCTTTACGCATGCCTGATAAATGCCAACAAGTTGGTTTATTTATTGCTCTAAATTGTTTCGTACCCTTGACCAGATACTTATGGCAGGAAAGCTTGAAGTTTCCCATTTTCTGAATTGTGGAAACTGTTTGAAAAAGCTTGATATAGATTGTTGGGCCTATTTCCTAATAGCTTGGGCTTTTGGGAAAATTGATAACTTAACGATTGGTATCAAAGCAATGGTTTGAAAGAAGTCTTGGGTCCAAGTTTCAGTATGACATTTTGTTTCAGTTCCCCGTTTGATATCTTCTTTTCTATTTGGTTGTCTGCTTCTCCTTCAGCTTGGTTCTCTGTTTGTCTCTCCACATGCAAGACGAGGTTGCACACGAGGGCAGGGTGTTGAATAGCCTTGAATATATTATTGGTGGGCCCATTTCCTAATAAGCTTATGGTTTTTGGGGAAAATTTATAACTTTAACAGAAACACAAGATTGGTACATTCAGTTGATGATAGCTTGGTTTTTTATTAATTTTCTTTTCCGTTTCTTTTTTTCACTGAAAATGAAACATTTTCTGATATGGGATAAAATCTATGCCTGTCAGATCACAGTTGTTCTGGAAATGGCGATTCAAAGTCTCAAGTTCTTCATTCTTTAGGATTGCTTAAGCATTGTTTGTTCCATATAAACTTGTGCTTGTTATTTGTAAAGCACAGAATGGTACCAATCTTGTCTCCGGCAGTTTTATAAAAACAGCATGGGAGTGGGAATTACCTGTCTTGAACTAAATGACTTGCTGAGGCTTATTTTTCCTCCTATAAAGTGAAAGCTTGATAACCATGTAAACACAAACTATCACCCTAACTTTCACAGTACCTAACCGCATCATTTGTCTTTTCTCACCTCTTATCTTATCAGTGGCTTGTTTGTTGACCTACAAAAACTAGCTCAATATAATGTCTATGATTGATTCTTGACTTTGAAATTCATATTTAAAAAATAAAAGTAAACAATCAGAGATTTATGTTTATTATGAGGAATTTTTGCTCGCTTGTCAATATAATCTCAATGCTGCTGGGATCAACAGAAGGTAAAGTCCCAAGTTACGCTGCTGCTGTACAAAGGAACATTATGGCAGTTAAACCTTGGCAATAGGTTCAAGGAGACCCGGTGTTTTTGTAATTTTATTTGTTTGAAGTTTCAGATGCTGGAATATTGGATGTTGTGATATTGGTGATTTTTGGAAGGAACATAAAAATAGTAGGTGCTATGTTTTTTGGCTGGCCTTGCTGACATATACTTTCTACCCTTTGATAACATGGAGTGCAGCTCATTCTATATCTTTCTAAATTCTAATCGTTTCTGATTGACTTGCATATCATGGCAGTTGTTGCTGTTCGTGTGATTCCTTGGGCAAAGGCCAAACCTCAATTATACAGCTCAGGCACTCATCATATCTGCTGGTCACGATCAGAGTGTATACTTGTTTTGATGAACATTGTATTATATAGTTGAACCTAGAATTTTTCATTTACCCCTCCTCGTGCCAATGGAAGTATGAGGAGTATGGAAATACCAAACCTGTTTCATCCATTTTTTACTGGTGCTCCAAAAATTACAGTGACATTTTGTTTAAGGATTTGGTATCATCTTTAGGTGAAGTACATTAAGAGAAATCACATGTTATATTGACAAATCATTTGAGAAATTACATGGGGATACTTGTATCTAAAGATGGAACATGGCTGTTTTTTCCTTGTATTATTTGTATCTTACATATTATTTTCGTCTGGACTTTTGATGTTTGTGGGCTGTATTGGTCTGCATATCGTACTGAACTGACTTCATCGGTGTCCAAAACCTGCTTTTTTAAACTTGATGACAATGCGATTGCTCATTTTTTAGGAAGTGAAGAGTTTACGAAATTAAGTTAGGTGTTCAAGGTGTAACTATTACTTCGCTTTCTTCAATGCATAAGCATTGTGTTTAAATCGGTAATCTACTAAAAAGTCATTTATTTTAGCAATTAAATATAATCATATATATACACACATAAAATACACATAAGTGTTTTAAAATAAAATAAGCATCACTATAACTAAAATGTATATATGTATATACATATTAAAAATTACATATTATCAATATAATGATTAATCTCATTTTTTTTTTAAATTTTTGCGAAAACGCGATTGTTTAATGGCATTATGCAAAACATAATTTAATCACGGCGAATCAAAATAACTTGATTTAAGATTCAACCAACATGGAATCAAGTCATTTTGATTTGAAAACTCCATATCGAATCCAATCTTGAATGTAAGATTCTAAACCGCCCATGATTATAAGAGTTAATATATATATATATTATATTATATATATATCATTCTGTCACACTTCAATTGGAATTATATGAATATCATATGAACTATGAAGTTAGCAAAGGCTATTGTCAAACAATCAAGCCATTTCCGTTTTTTGGTTTTTTTTCTAATTCTTAATTTGTTCATCTGGGTAGGTGGGTCATCATGTTGGGTTCAATCTATCTATAAGTATGTTTGCTATCCATCTATATATTCAGCAATGCTATCTATATCAAATTTCCGTAAGTTTGTATATCTATCCGCATCTTTTGCTGTTGCCAAAAAGTGTTCACAACTTTGATTGATTGAATGCTATTCTAATATCTCAGTTGATTTCTAATAGGCTCTCATCATAAATGGCTATGGGCCGATGTTTGGAAAATTTGCATGACTAGCTTTGTTTGTTAATGAACAGCATCCATTGCGCGAGTGAGCGTGTGCGATCCTGCTGACAAAAACCATCCTGAATGTGCAAGGAGGAATGCACATTATGAAGCACATCATGATAAATCACGGACCTGAGATTGTTGATCGTTGATACAGTGCAACTTACTGCAATTTTTCCCCTTCCTGTTTTAACCACTATGTGTTCTATGCTGTGTATGTGTTGCTTGCTCTGTCAGTTATTCATTTTCAGTACTACCGTTTGCGAGGATAAATGTGTTGTAATGCTACCGAGTCAGATTGTTCTTCGTCCTTGGCACAAGGATTTTTGTTCAACCATTTTGCGTATGTAACTCTCGCATCAATGAGAAGATAAATGCCTAGTCTTTGCAATATATAACCATTTTTCGAGATAAATGCCTAGTCTTTTGAAGGGACCTTGTTGAGTTTGTAAAAAGTTGAGAATGGTCAGCTTATTGGAGACCTGTAAGAGATACTATAGCCACAACAGTATACTACAGGCATTAAAATAAGTGTTTTTATTTTTTTTATTAACTGTTGCTATCAGTAATGCACTATTACACTAACATATCACTTCTATCAGTAATCCCTGGATATATAAACTTGTCTTGATCTTACATCACTGCGACAGTGAATGGGTTTTTTTTTTTTTGGATCAAGTGGACAGTGATAGGTGTCACTTTTAAATTATAGCTTCTCTTGATCTTATGAATGGCAGCCAGAGTCATTTTTAGCCTCCAGTCTGAACATTAAAAAATGAGCCTATTTTACTAGGCCTTTTGAAAAATTGTGGGCCTTCCACATATCAAGGCCCGTTTGTTTTCAGAGGAGATAGAACGGAGGGAGATTGATTAGTGAAAAGAAATTAATAGTGAGGGGATTGATAGTGAGGGAATTTATAGTGAGAATGTAGGAATTGTTAAATTATTTTTATATAAAATAATAAAACAAATAAAAATATATAAAAAATTAAACATTAATATTTTTTAAAAAAATTCCCAATATATAAAAAAAAAATAAATAAAAAAATATAATCCTCTAATTATTTTTCTAATATCATCTCTACCTTCTCACTATGAATCCTCCTTCCAAGGGTATTAGTAATACCAATGTATTAATAGTCCCAAGGCCAGCTCGCCAGCTCTCAAAACAAACAAGGTATTAGTAATACGAAGGTATTAGTAGTCTCAATCCTCTTCCTATAACCCAAACAAACGGACCTAATTTTCTTGATAGGCCTTTGGCCACACTTTAAGTAGTCTAATGGATTAGACACTTCTAACTTCTTATTCGGAGTACAATAGCAAATAGACTGGGGATGGAACTAGTGAAACTACAGAGTAGGTCATTTTTCATTGTTCCTATAATTTTGGATTTTGAATTCAAAAAAAAAAAAAGTTTCTCCTACTGTTTTTTATTTATTTATTTTTTGTTTCTTTCTCACCATAAATCCCTACACAATTTCATAGTCCAAATGTACCAAGGTCAACCTAGCTTGCCTGTTTTGCTGGCATTATTTTTTGTTTAGCTTTGATATTCTATTGTCTTTTCTTCTCTCTCTTTTTTTCATGAAAAAATCCTTATGCCAACCAAACAGAAGTAAGATCTTTCCAGTTTGGTTTTGATTTCCATGCTTTGATTTTGGTGACTACTACTTGAAGTAGGCCAACGGAAAAAAAAAAATCAAACAAAAAACAAAAACACAACCATACAACCTGAAATATCAATCTTAATAAAAACACTCGCACAAGCATAAAAACCCAAATTTCATTATATTCCAATAAATATCAACATAATCTTCCGGAACCAACTGGGGCTAGCCCAGTTGTCCAGTCCCCTTGCACTTGACTAGGAGGTCAAGAAAAAAGGTAAAAAAAAATGCACCCTTCCACACGGGGTTACAATGACAAATAGCTTCATACAAGGAAGAAGACCATATTCTTCCTTTTTAGCAATCCCCACATGTTTACCACTACTTCGAAATATGTAAATACTACTACAATGCAACAATTCCAACTTGACCCACCAAAAAAGAAAGGGAAAAAAACAACACAATCCAGCTACAGGTCGGTAGATACAAGCTCCCCAAAGAAAAGAGGAGAAAGGGTAAAGGCGAAAGGGGATTGAAAAGCAAAATAAAAAGCAAAAAAGACTGCACCAAAAAAAGAAAAATAATAGAGAAGGAAAACACAAGAACACAACTAGAGACCCTGATCAATGAGATAATCACCCAGCCTTTCCACAATCATGTTGCACTGACCAGGAGGCATAGGTTCACCATATATTCCAATTATCAAAGCCTGATTAGTCTTCTTGACAGTAACACCACCAGGGCCCTGAAAGGTGAAACAAAATTGCATTGTAGTAGTTTAGTTTTACACAAATATAATAAGAAATTTGGACATGAAAAACACAAATTACATTGTCATGTAATGATAATGGGGCCATATTATCACATTCTGTCAAACTGAAATTGAGGGCATAAGATAAAATTCAGGATGCAAATTATCAGTCAAGCTCAAGAGAATACCAAATGGTGTTGGCAATTTCAAAATTCAAGGTGGCATAGGATTCACTGGTTTAAAAAATCAAACCATATAGATGTGATATGTCACCACCACATAATAAACTGCATTACTAGTACTTTAAAGACAATAGCTGCAACAAAACCAATTGATTACCAAATATAATACTAGTACCCATTCAATTGATAAAAATCTACATGGAAACACTATGTATACAACGTAAATTAAGCCAGTCAAACATGCCTTATTTGATTCCCATATGTAATAGTTATTATCTTTTCTTTTTTTTATTATTTTACTTTATATAAATATATAATAGTTATTAGACATCGAGAAGTATAAATGCAAATAAACAATTGACATCTTTGAACAATCCATAATGATGAAACATTTGGAAAGGAGCTCCTAAAAGATGTAGTACAAGAATGAAGCATAATGATGCCAAATCAACTGACTTATTACCTTCTTTCCTCTTATGACAGCCCCAGGTTCACCTTGGATCACCATATACTTTGTCCCACCAAGGTGTAAACCAGTTGGTGCTAGCACTCCAGGTTCAGAAAAATCATTCATAATGGCAGTTATTTCTTCAGGCTTAAACTGCAAAAGCAATCAAATAAACAATTAATGTGAATTCTAAAGATAATTAAAAAGCCAAGTTCAAATAGCATATAACAAATCATGTCCATGCATCTGTAGACACTGAGTGGGGTAGACCAGATAATTATCCACCCCTACGCCAGTTTCATCACTGAAACAAGCCTAAAAAAACGAAATCTACATCACCGTTCATTTAATTGGAACAATTCTGTATTCAAAACATGTTATCGGCATACAAACATATGATACACACACACAAAAGAAGAAGAAGAAGAAGAAGAAGAAGAACAGGCAATGTTAAGATCATGCACTCATTGTAACTGCCCATAAAATCAAGGGCACAACTCAAGTTGTCATCAGTGGTTCCTTCATGAACACTGAAATGAAGACTTCTTGACCATTTTTACCATTTTCCATATGACTTTTTTTAACTGATTTTTCATGGTTATGATAAACTGTACAAGTCAAACAAGTGAACAACAGCTTGCTAAACTTTTTATGCTCTCCAAAATACAAATTCATACTCAATTTCTTATCTAATTACTTTGTATGTGTATAAGCGAGTATTTATTGCTCGAATCTCATCAAAAAGTACAGCAAACCCAAAACCAAACCCAAGTACCAAAATTAAATAAAACCCTAAAAAAGCCGAATAAGCATGATAGAAACCCAAAAATTGAAAATAGCAAAATCGATTCAGTAATCATCAGAGTTGAACAATAAATAAAAACTCATCATTTACACTGAAACAAGTAAAACAGAGGACTTGGTGAGTCAGATCAAACAAAACCCAAACTGATCCAAAAAAAAAAACCCAGTGAAGAAATTGAGAGAAGAATTGAATTGAAATGGATAGACCTGAGGGAAAGCAGCACTTTGGGCCCAGACACTGGCGTCGTGGCCGATGATGGCGGCGGAGGAGAGGTAATTGCCTTCGATTTCGCACATCAAGTGATCATCTACATATACTTGCCACGACATCTTTTGATTAATTTTGCAGGCTCACTCACTCTTACCCTCTTCTTCTTCTTCTTCGATTTGAAAATATGGGTTTTGGGGATTTCTCAAACTTTGAAGAACAACCAGATATGAATTGCGAAGATATAAGAAGGAATTTTTGTGGTAGCGTTGAAAATGAGCTCCAAACATTTACCCGTACGCGGTTGTTGAATTGAATGTATGCAGCTTGTGGATCCTACCTACGAAAAACACTTTTTTTTATTTATTTATTGGGGAAAAAAACATACGGGGATTTACAGAGTTTTTTTTTTTCTTTTTAATATTCTTAAAAAAAATAATTTCAAGAATTAACTAACTTTCAAACTATTTAAAAAACTAATCTCCTTAAAATCACACGTTGAACATGCAATTTCACTATATCATTATAAATTATATTTTTAATATGCGATTTCAATGTGAAATTACATGTTAAAAATGTAATTTCAATTTTAAAATCACATTTTGAAAATACGATTTCAAAAAGCAAATTAATTTCTCAAATAATTTGAAAATGAGTTAATTCTCTAAAGTATTTTTTTTCAGAATATTAAAAAAAAAACCTCGGGATTTTACATGGGAATTGGGATGTTGCTGGAGTTTTTTTTTTTAAATATTCTTTAAAAAATATATATATTTAGAGAATTAATCAACTTTTCAAATTATTTGAGGAACTAACTTATTTTTTAAATCGCATTTTAAAAATGTGATTTTGAAATTAAAATTACATTTTTAACATGTAATTTCACCTTGAAATTACAAGTTGAAAATACAATTTCAATTTCAAAATCACATTTTCAAAATACGATTTCAAAAACAAGGGATTTAATTTTCTCAAATAATTTGAAAAGTGATTTAATTAGTTTTCCAAATAATTTGAAAAGTCAGTAAATTCTCTAAATAGTTTTTTTTTAGAATATTAAAAAAAAAAAAAAACTTGAGGTTAGAAATGAGAATTTGAAACCGGCCCGATGGGGACCCGACCCCCTGACCCCGATTTGAGCGGTTTTTTTTCGAAAAATATCCCCAACGGGACGGGAATGGTATTCAAAAATCAATCTCCGATCAATTTCAGACCAAAGATGGGGATAAGTGTCCTAGCCTCGTACCTGGCCTATCTCCGTCCCCGTTAGTCCCCGAAGTGAAATTACTATTTTACCCCTCTATATGTATATATAAAAACCAAATCCTACTATCATCTCACTCGCTCACTCAGACCGCATCTCTTATCTTTCTCTTTTTCACTCACTCATTCAAATTTCTCTCTCTCTCTCTCTCTCTCTCTCTCTCTTTTCTTATCATCATCATCATCATCCAAATCCACCACCGTGAAACCACTGATCTCAACCATGAAGCCACCGATCTGAACAGATCGTGGTTCGTGAACCGTGAAGCCACCGATCTAAACAAATCGTGGTCCGATGTCTTGATCAATGGACTCGTCGGTGCTGGTGCCGGTGTCGATAGAGGAATCAACGCCCAATTCTCTCTTTCTCTATCTCTCTATATATATATATATGTTACTTTCACACAAGTTCCATCTCGATTGTATATATATAAATGTGTGTGTGTATAATGAACAAATATGTTGTTGATGAACAAATCTTTTTTTTTTTTTTTTTTTTGAGGTTTTGGGGGTTTGTTTT